AAGACAAGACCTTAATGACTGCAAGATCGCATCACGCGGGGCATTCTGTAAAAATCGCAAGACAGAGAATGGGGCAAAGGAAATAAATCGACGCTGGCATTTCAAGATGTGGGAAAAAGATAACCAAGGGAAGAAGGAAACACTTAAAGACGTCTCAAATGAAGTCAAGAAAATGATGCCGCTGCGTTGAGTGATTGGACAGGACGGAAGCCAATCGATCAGACTGTAACTCATCAGGTTGGACAAACAAACATTGAGCATCAGGTCGGGGAACTTGAGAGGGGAGAGTGGAATGGGGAAGATGAGGGTTGTGTTTCCCTGACCCAGGGTGAGCTGGATAAGGTCCTCGCGCTCAGGTCAAGTGCGCTGCCACAAATGATTTACGGTAATGCCCCCTTGGCCTCCACATCTGACCGACGATGTCCATGGTCATGTTGCATATTATCAACTGTGATAAGCTGCAGCTCTGTGCAACCCTAAACAGGTAAAGTGGGACATACTATTGAAGGGAAGGTGGAGGGAATCATTGTTAATGCATTGACTCATTGATTGTTGCGTAGTCGGCCTGGGAGACATTACCGCTCAGTGTACTTTTCAAAATTGCTCATCCTGCTCATTTTTTGAGATATTAGAAGGTAGTTGTAATTTGTGACTTATTCAGTAATTATTTCAGTGAGAATTAAGACCTAGATTTAAACACTTCAAGATGGCGCCTTGATTAGCTTGCTTTGTTGCTGTTGTTGTTTTTGTCTTTTGTTTTTTCATATATACATATACCCACTGAGCCTTGTGGGTCCTCCTTCCTTTCTGCAGTAGGAAGATACACGTACGGCTTGTCTTGTTCAGGGTGATGGGTATTTAGAGCTGATCACAGCTAACGTTTGGTGAAAGGCAGATGACACTCAGATTGGTCACCAATCAATTACAGGGAATGTATACACGAAACTATTTACACTCACATTCACACTGTCGCTGAGTAGGAATTGTGTCCAGCTGCCTGCACAGGAGTCAGGCGACTGAATCATAATGATCCAGAATGCAAATTTACCAAACCTTACTTAAAAAGGAGAAATAAAAATCACTTCATGTAAACACTGCGAGACAATTGTTTCAAACAGATAACATTGCATGCAAGAATATGTTCTCTGTTGACTTATACCTGGATAAATAAAGATGAAATAACATCGAGGCAACATAATCACAGTTTGTCATGATTTTGAAAAGCTAAAAAAAGATTCATCATGCTCAGATGCATTCAGATTTCACTCATTTTCAAACAGCATGTCCTTGCACTAAGTATTTAAATGAACTCAGTGGAACCGTTATGGATATATGAATTGCAATCATCCGGGAGCTACATTCAGGACACACGCAGAAGCAGACCTGCCCCTTTTGAAACTTGTAAAGTGTCAGCTGTGAGTGCCAATCAAAAATATTGGACCTAAGATGAAAGACTGGCAGATATGATCTCCTTTTTCATATACGGTATCCCATGGGTGATCTAAAAAGTCGGGTACTTAACTTTATTTCCTCATTGTTTGCTGTCACAGTTCAGTGAGCATTTCTCTCCACTGCCTTAGCCACTGTGCCAATCCTATCAAGCTAAAACAGGAACATAGATGACTACCCCGTTCATCATATACTCACCATCACCACTTCCACTTCAAACCAACCTTGACGAGGAAAAAAAAAACACTCTTGGATAGGGTGCTCACCTCCCTATGACCTGACAGAAACTTCGATCTACAGCCAAGTCTAAGTGTGGGGGGGAAATCGATATGGGCATGAGTGAGTGTAAGAATGAATGTTTCACTTAACCTTGTGAGGTGTCTGGATTTGCAAGATTACACATCCTATTTGTCAAGCAAAGATGAGTTTCTGGCCAATCACAAACGAGTACTCCAAGCAACATTCCTTCAGGAGAAAAAGGAAACCGGTGTTGGTGTGGTTTGATGCTTCAAATGAGAGAAACAAGGAAATGCAACGATAAGAGACCCCCTTACACCAGTCCTGTTATGTCAGTTTTTTTCTTTGACTTTGGGATTTCTAGGATAGTTCCTTTTGTTTACTTTTGGATTTCATATTTGGACTCTGTTGATTTTTTTCTGTTTTAATTCCTTCCAGTACCTTGTTTGCCTTGTTCTTTATTAACATTGGTTGACTGGTGAGCACGTCTGCCTCACAGGTAACGAGGTCCAGCTTCTTGTGTTCTCCCGTTGCCTGTGTGGGTTTTCTCCGGGTGCTCCAGTCTCCTCCAACATTCCATAAAACATGCATGGTAAATTGATTGAGCAAAAACAGAGCAAGTAGGCACAGCAGAATAAGCTGTTGAAGAAGTGATTTGTCACATTTTGCAACATACATACAACTGCGCTACTCTTATCGAATGTTAAGAGCCGCTGTTGTAACAGAAAAAAAACCCAACATCTCAAAATGTATGTTTCTGAGCTTTGCGTTTTACGTTCATGCTTGGAGGTCTGAAGTTTTAATCTCACTCCATGCGTACAGATAGGTCAGACCAAGATTCAAAGTTACCTTACACACCATTTGTAAGTCAGATGTATACAAGAAAACAAAATGGACCGGATCGAGTTATGTGAGCATGGACAGTTACGGGTCAATTAAATTAATGATGATAATGATGTGCTGTTAAAGTTGGTGTTAATTTAGTGCTAGAGGAAGGTGCGTGTGGGCGCACGCGACGAATGAGCGCAATGAGTGAGTGATAAAAGATAAAAGAGCTACATGAGCTGTACTCGCCGCAGGTTGCGGCTGACGGTAACCCGTTGAGCGGTTGTAATTAACCCCCGATATCTCAGTGTTACATTCAGGATGCTACAACATTGGACATGATATGCTACTGCGTAGGCATAATAGTAGAAGAGTCAAAATAAGTTTTACTTTTTGATATGTACTGTACATTTCGATGTAATTGACGTTTTATGGCCCCTTTTCAATGTTGCTACTTTAAATCAAATAAAAAGACGTGGCCATCGCTCCGTTGTGAGCTACAACAGCTATGGGTAATATAGCGCAAAATCGTTATACAGGCGGCACACAAATGTACATCTTTTAGAGCAGGTGTTTATAGAGCCACCGAATGACTTTGTCACTGCATCAAACAAATGAACGACCGGATGCAGCAACGTTGGATCTAATTAAGCGGAAATAAAATTGAGGTAATTGTCTTTGGAGAACAGAAGGACCGACAAAATGTTTGGCCTCACCTTCACTCCGTGGCTCTCATTATCCACTGTTGAGCCAGAAATAGACATGGTACTTCAATTTCAACCGCCACATCCAATAGATATTGTCAGTATTTTACAACATCTAAGCAGGAGTAAACTGTATTGCCATTTTGTGTACACAACATTTTCGGCATTGGATTTTGTTGAAGGTGTTGTGCCACAATGTGCCTTTTATCTTAATAAAAGTCAAGACTGGGGGCTCTATTTTCATAGACGGTAGTGGCGTAAATGCTGATGAATCCCGATTTACATGCACGTGCAGGTTTCGCTTTGCCTGTTTGCCAATTTGACAGAATGATCTGCGCTATGCAGAATTTGGTGACAGAAAATCCACCTCAAGTTACCCATGCTTGGACAACATCTGAATAGTGGCGCCGCTGATGAAACACAATTTTGCTGGATTTATTCGCCGCACAGGCAGACAGATTCTGAGCAGACATGTCAAATAAATTTCATCCATAAATATGACATCAACAGGCATCAGACCGTCTGAATCAGTGTAGAAATCAATTAATTGAATGCAATACTATCACTATCATGACTTTAGTTTATAAATCCTTCCAAGAAAGGGTGGGTGGGAGTGTCGCACACGAATCATAAGGGGTGGGGATAGATACATAACGGACATATTTAAATGACCAGCAGCTCATTCTGTATTTGAGGGTACGGCTTTAAGTTGTCTACTGCCACACGGGCCAAGCACGGCGACGATACTCCGGTCACACACGGATCGCTGCAGCCTTCCCCGCACAGAGGCATCTCCATGCAAAAGTGAGTGTGCTACATTTAAAAGTTGTGAGAAGTGCAGCTTTAATAGGCAGCAAATGGAGTCGGTTGTGTTCACACCCACAACAGCGCAAACCGCTTTTTAAAATACATCAAATTGCAAACATCCGGTCTAACATGTCCAGGCACAGATTTACAGTGTGCGTCAAATTTGCACCAGTCATGAAAATAGAGACCTGAGTGTTTTACTGTTGTTAAGTATTGTCATTCTAAGTTAATTTGACACTTGTATGACAGTGAAGAATTTTAAAATATTACTTTTGAAATTCCACTGCGGCGCCAGGGAATGTCATCAAGCTTCGAGATTCCACTATCTTGAATGAGCTTTTTAACACTTGAATTATTTTATTCATCCAATTTAGCGCTTTTCCTGTGCAGGGTCATGGGGAGGTGGAGCCTGTCTGTATTTCTGCTGACCCTGGGCCAGAGATAAATCTGTGTCTGTTGAACAGACACACACACACACACACACACACACACACGTACATGAAGGAGAGCAAGAACGGCACAATAACTGTGTTCCCTGTGGCACATCACAGGCAGCAGGCTATGAATCGAGGTGCAAGCCTGCATGTGAAAAACACTTCTTGGAGAGCCAGCTCGGGTACAGACTATCGACTGCCCTACCACTTGCTCACACGCATTACACACATAGACACACACTCTTCTTGCTGCAGGGGATCCAATCTGAAGTTCAGGTACAGTATCTAAACTTTTTCAACAGAGGCCCCTGAAAGTATGTGAGCTGGTGAAATTGCGTGCATGGGAGTGAGTGTTTGCTTTAGTTTGCCGATGGTGGGGTGGCATTGTGAGGGGGTCGAAAAACTGAATAGTTAAGGGGCAAATGTTTGATTTAAAAGTAGGAAGAAGCCAAGCGGTGCTGCAGAGACTGTCTGCGTGGGCTACTGTATGCATATTTAATATGTGAGTGGGCAGTGATGTTTCAGAGATTGTAGAGCAGGAGAATGAGCGAGAGAATTAGTCGAAGTGAAATGCTTCTGGCAGTTTGTATCCAGAATGTTTTAATATTTTGTTCGTTCCCCCTGAATGCAAACTAAACATGTTGATTTGTGGCTTTTAAAATCTTCTCTTTCCTTGGAAATGGTCTAACTTGTGCGTATGAGTGGTTCTCTCGGCTGTATAATACAGCTGGTTTAGACTATAGGCAGGCATTGGTTCTCATATACAACACCAGCACGTTTCACTCTGCAGCAGCCACCACCTCCGGCATCAGCACGCACCATCATCATCATCATCATCATCAGGTGCAGGTCGAGGCTTCTTTTGGAGCTCCGCTGATACATGAAGAAGACAGAGTGAAGCTCACAAAGCAATGCTCGTAGTGGGCTGGTGGCGGCTCGGGCACAGTTGAGCGTGTTGAATGAGGAAGCGGCTACCGGGACTGCTTGGTGTTCTTTTCCCGTCCAAACGAGCCTCTTACTGGGAGGGACATGCCAGCCGGGCGATTAACGCAGCCTCCTCGGCTGGAGGAGTAAATGGGACCGCACGTCATCCGAGGGAGAAAGATGGAGCGATTTTTTCTCCTCGTTCTCAGCTGTTTTGGCGTCTCGCGGGTTTCAGCGGGTAAGTTTCTTGTTCATGTGCAATTAGAACGACGGTTGTGTCAGTGCAGCAGCATCCGCGTTTGACTGCCTTTTGACTGTGCGACGAAAGGTGCCCACCGCGATGTGCACGGGTAAAACCCTGGTTTGCACGGATGTCAACATCACTGTGCACCCTGGGCACGCTGCGCATTGTCTTTGGAACCTGTGGAGAGCGTGTGTGTGACATTTTCGTGACCAACACGCGCGAATTTACCTCAATCGCAAATACGGTCCGATTATATTATTGGACGGTATTACGATGGGTTAGGTTGACTGGCTTGAATAGGCTTTATTAAAACTGTAATTGTCAGTCATATTACACTGTACATGCGTGCGCGCGCGCGCGCGTGTGTGTTTGTGCCCGCAATCTGTAATTTATCAAATATTTTAAATACATATTTAGATACATATTTGTCCGAAGTCTACAATATTCTGCACTATTTATCGTTCCTGGGTCCAAGAGGTACCTGCATGTGCACCTCAGTGGCAGCCTACTGTATTTCATTCTGAGAAAGACAAAAAAAAAAAAAAACAACAATCACGAATGTACTCGATTTCAGCATTGTCGCGCGTGTACCAGTTACCTCTTATTGTATGACCTCACCCTAGCACATTTCAAATCGAAAATTTAAGACCTATCCTGTATTAAAGTCATAATAAAGAATTAGCACATACTGTAAACACTGGTGTTGGTGTGCTTACGACCCCTTGCTGCACTCACAGTCCAAAACAATGATTAGGCTATTAGCTATAAAGCCATTTGGTAAAGGCATCCAATCCAATTAACTATATCCCATTAAAAAGACAACAATTCAGAATTTTAACTGACCCTGTCAAAAACTATAAAAGGGACCAATCCACGTTTACTCTTGAGGCTGTAGTTTTCAGTGATGGAAAACTGTCCACCCTCATACTACGTTTTTAATACTGCACTTTGGCTACCGTGCAGAGCTGAAAAAGCGATTGAATCTCATCAGAATGTGCCAGTGGTCATAATCTTGTGGTCCTATGAATTAATTCATTATTGAATGATTTTTTTTAAATTTGTTTCACTCGCAAATCATTTGGGGGTTCGACATAACTTCTACATGAAAATAATCACAATTATGTAAGTTTCCCATAGGTCTGGACTATGTGGTTGAAAATGGTATCATGATATAATATTTCATATCAGTCGATAGTATCATTATCATTATTTTAAATTATTATTATTATTATTAGTAGTAGTAGTAGTAGTAGTAGTAGTAGTAGTAGTATTTCACACTTCATGACAAAGACCGAGGAAAAAGCTTGAATTTAGGTAAATGTATTTATAAATATAACCTTGAACCTTAAATGGGAAGTTAAAACAACTATGAAAAAGTCAAATTAACTTGTCAATGTAAAGATTAAATTCAGATCATTTTAAACAATGCACTTAGTAGGGCTGCGCCGAGCACAGTGTATGTATATCATCTTCATCTATTGATTAATTTTTTTTTTTACATATTTAAAAAAATACATTTACATATTAAAAAACATTTCCTTTTAGGTGCTTGTAATTGTGACACAAATCTAGCGTCCTACTGTAGCCTCTTCCCACAGCACGCACAATGACAAGGTCAGTGCTTGCTCCCAGATATCGATATTAAATTGAATGCAATTTCTGTTGCTATTGATCAGGTGTCTATTTCGAAATATATTGATATTGAATTATTACCCAGCCCGAGACTTTCACAAATAACCAATTACCTCACATCTCCTACTAACTGAAGTGGAGAACGGGGCTCTTGACATTGATGAATCACATGCGTTTGTTTGCTGTTGGGTGTGTGCTCTGATGTAGATCAATGGACTGATTTTTCCTTTGTTGCCTCTGAACGACACACATACCTGTATACTCACAGGATAACCATGAGACGGTGATACAAATCATTTCTGAAGCATAAAATTTAAATGTATCTCTAATTTGGTACATTTTTCCATCTATCAAGCAATCCGCTGACACTTGGATTGACTTTCTCTTTTCAAAGCATTTGAATTTGCTCACACTTCATTTATTCATTGTTTACTCATCCAATTTGAGTAATAGCTGAAATGGTGCCGTTTTATTCTGGATGGATGGCTTTGCTTGAGCCAGCTCATAAATATGCTTATTTATCATACTTTGGCGACATAGGGAGAATCTCACGGGTAATCAAGCACAAGCATTCATAATCTATTTATACAATAATTGGATGCAAATTTATGACATATGCAAAATGGCATTATATCCGCACATTACCGCATATCATTATTGAACAGTGTAATAACATAAAGCTCATAAATGGGGGGAAAAGAGGTCAAGGTGATTTTTTTGTTGTTGTTTTTTAATGACAAGCACTAGAAAGGATACATTGATGTGATGTGATGCCAAGTCTGAGTGTCAGCCTGGCAAGAGTGAGAAGGAGTGGGACTGTAATATTTACGCCGCGCTGACGTCTTTACAGCATCTGTGTTTATAGGAACTCATAAACAGCTGGTTGAACCTGGGAAAGGAGAGGTAATGTTTCAATTTAAAATGTAAATCGACTCCCTAACACATTCATCTCAATGGGTCCATAAATCCTCGAGAGCAATTTTCCCAGGGCTGTTCCAAGGAAAAAGGAAAAAAATCAATTAGTCACTTAACAAACTGAACGCTGATGCAATAGACAAAATGATTCCAAGCTTTCCCCCTTTCTTATTCTGATACTTTTAATTAGAATGCAGTCTTTCAAGAGCTGAGAGAATATTTTTTTTATGCCTGCATGTAAAACTACATTTATCCTGTGTCATACAGGAGCAGGTGATAAATTTTCATGCTAGAGTCTACAGGATAGAGCATCTTTGAAATGCTTTTCCTTTCTGCTTGTCCCATTAAGGGTCGCCACAGCTCATCATCCTTTTCGAAGCCTGTCTTCTGCATCCTCCTCTCTAACACCAACTGCCTTCATGTCTTTTTTTCAGTACATCTATCACCTTTCTCTCAGGTGTTCCTCTCACGCCGACCAATATAGTTACGAGCTCTCCTCTGAATGTGTCCACACCATCCATGTCTGTTTTAACAACACTCACCAAGCTGTTGGGAAGACTAAGGGATCTATTTTGTTGCCAATTTCAAAGCTGATCCAATTGTGCGGTTGGGTGGAGCGCACAATGAGATTACGTTTATAGGGAACTGTGAGCAGACCTCCACGGGTGTATGATGTAAAGTTGACCAGGGTGACCAAATATCACCACAATCAAGTGGACACTTGGAGACCGCCTTCCAACCGGATTGTTCATATCCTTTTGTGAACCCCCCGACAATCTCGTTGTTGTCATATTTATGAATTAAATATGATGGCTTCCATCACACATATCCACGAGGCTCAAAATCTGTTCCCCTTCATCTCAAATTCACCAAAATCGCATTACAACACCTGCGCCACAACTTAGACCTGCTTCTAGCTGGTCTCGTTTCAGCCACCAAATTGTCAGGTGCTCAAGGGGAGTGTAAAACCTGCGCCACAACTTAGACCTGCTTCTAGCTGGTCTAGTTTCAGCCACGAAATTGTCAGGTGCTCCAGGGGAGTGTAAAGGAAAACACTCTCGGTCTGTCAGAATGCCCAGCATGGTGGATAGCGGCCTACAAAATTGTCAAACACAATAAACTAGGCTTGCGCTGGCACGGAAATCAAAGATGTGCCAGTTTTTATGCCCAAGCACAAATGCACTGTCTATACAAATAGAGCTTTTATTGTTGAAGCTTCATTGGTGGAATTTTTTTTCTTGATGTACAGCTTCAGCTGCTCAACACTCCAGGGTCTCCATTGTTGTAACTTGCAGTTCATAATGCACCACACACTTTCAGTGGAAGACAGGTCTGGACTGCTGGCAGGCCAGTCTAATACTCACAGCCTTTCACTACGAAGCCACTTGATTGGAACATATGCAGAATGTGGCTTGGAATTGCCTGGCTGAAATAAGCAGGGATGTCCATGAAAAAGACGTTGCTTGGATGCCAGCAGATATTGCCTCGAAACTTGTATGGAACAGTACCTTTCAGCATTAATGATGCCTTCACAGATGTGCAAGTTATCCATGCCATGGGCACTAACACACCCGCATACCATGCTGGCTTTTTCCGAATTGTCATTTTCTTCTTTGACACGGACGACACATCATACATGATTTCCCCCCCCAAAATTCAAACAGCACACTTGCTTTACATCAAAGTAGTAAAATATTTGAAAAAAAAATACAAATAAAGTTGGAACATTAAATATTTTGTCTTTGTATTGTAATGAACTGAACGTAGGTTGAAAAGGATATGCATGTATGTATTCTGTTTTTATTTACGTTTCACACCCAACCTCATTGGAATTGGGGTTTCTACTGTACACTGAAGTACGGTAAGTTTAGGAGCATCTTGTAGCATCTTCAGGCAATCTCAAACTGTTTCAAGGGGGGCGCCAGTTGCTTCCAGATTTTTGCTCTTTCAGTCCTCGTATTTGTATAAGGCAAAGTCCCACCGTAGCTTTGTTCTGGCCTTTGCGTGACTCAGATCATCTTACTTCAATATGTATGTTAATTAGCACCTGATCTGGTGCATTAAAGCAGAGGAGCTAAGAGGCCATTTTGTGTCCTTTCCAATTCCCACATTGTTATATCCCAGAATATGGTTGTTCTTGCATCCGGCACGTTTTCACTTCAAAACGCCTCAAGTGTCCTTTGAGCGCCCATCTGAGGTTCAGTGAGGCGCACGTGAAATAAATGATGACCTTGTGCTTCATGGAGTGGGCTTGTGCACGCATCCGGCACGTTTTCACTTCAAAACGCCTCAAGTTGTCCTTTGAGTGCCCATCTGAGGTTCAGTGAGGCGCACGTGAAAGAAATGATGACCTTGTGCTTTGTGGAGTGGGCTTGTGCACTAAGATCTGATGGCAATGGCTGAGGCCATGGTAAATGGTAAATAATTTTTAAGCAACGGTTGTTCAA